CTTCTGTTAAATGCATGAGGTTCCTGGTACTGTCAGGAGACGTTTTGCAAGCAGAATTGTACATATTACAGACATGGTTTGAAATCAATCATGGAATAGCAAGCCATATTGCTCGAGTGTAAGCACAACATAAATGTTTACATAAAAAGGGAGACAAAGATGACAGGAAAACTGGAATAGCACCTTCCTCGCTAAAAAGAACCAAGTTGTCAATTGCTAAGCAAAGGTAGGAAGACAATGAAAAAATCGGTTCAAGCCGATGGGTATAAAAAAAGGTGGGTTTTGGGTTTTTTTTTGTTGTTTTGTTTTGTTTTGTTTTTTAACTTAACTAGCTTTATCCTTAAACCTTCTATGCAAGTTTTAAAGAGTGGGAGGTATTCAGTACAATAGCTGCTGTCTGTTTCTAGACAGTTATTCCTAGTGCTTCTAAATTAATAACTGCAAATCTATGCCATGCAAAAACTCAAGATGATTTTTTGGACTGTTAACACTTTCAGCAGGGGATTTCAGTGCCTTCTCTTTTCCTCTACCAGCAGCTGCCACTCTCTTGGCAGGGGTGAGAGCAGCCACCACCAGCTCCCTGCTCTGTGTCAGGACCTCATCAAATGGCAACATTTGGCCCCCTGGGAAGCAACCACTGCCCAACCACTGCTGTTGTGCATTCCCTCTGGGAAACGGTGGAACAGAACGGGAGCAAGCAACAGGCTGCCAGCTGGACCACACTGAGGATGCCCCCTGAAAAATTCCCTCTCTCTCATTTTCCTTCTATGTCCTTGAACCTTCTCTTCTGTGCCCTTGGACCTTCTCTTCTGTGGCACATTTTAAAACAAAGAGCTTCTTTTGTTTTTTGGGTGGGGGCGGTGGTGGTGAGGCAGTTTGGTGGCATACACTTCACTTCTTTCTGCCATGGTAAACAGCATTCTAAAGAGCTACTGGGGTAGGTGCTGTTAGACGTCATCACCTCTCTTCTCAATACATAGGCACTATGCAATGCCTTGGGTGAATACTTTCAGTAGGATAGACTGCGATGCACCATTTGATACAGTCAGTGCATAATGTAGTACCTTAGGCAAATACTTATTTTGAAGAAGTTTTTTATCTAAAAATTGTATGGTTTTTTTCCCTCCTCTGCCTTTCACAGGCGATGACCGGGCTCCTGTGTAGCTTACAAATGAGATGAAAGTACTCAAAATAATAGGGAAGAAGGGCAAAAGCAGCACAAGGTGGGCATGTCACTATGTGCAAGGATTAGCTAAACTAATGCATTTCAAATTTGCAAGCATGTTTACAAGCTGACCAACCAGCTATTGGTACTTCTGCATAATGAAATGTAAGACTTCTTTTGATTTTGGATTTGGAAGTAAGTAAACTTGCACCAGTTATACCCTGAGATTTAAGCAATGACGGTCAGTACATTATATATAACGTGAATATCTGCATAAGGTTTTTGTTTCCCAGATGTATCTAATTCTTGTTGCAGATGCTAATGAAGACTCTATCCCTGTTACCAGAGGAAAATGAGGTGGGGTTAGAAAATAAAAGGCACTCAAGAATAACATCTTTGTAGCTTATTCCCCTTCCCTCTCTTTCTTCCTCCTCCCCTTAAATTAACTGTGGCCTAAGAGGTCACATCCCCAAGTTACTGGCTTGCCACAGCAAACATAAACGACAGGCGTGCAAGCACATAAAAGAACAGGGATAATCTGTAGCCACTGAAGGAACCCAGGCTTCCTGCATGACTTAAGTCAAATCACATGCTGAGCCACTTGTAAGGCATGTGAGAGTTCATTAGGTTTCTTTAAAAAACCCAGGGATTTCTTTCACAGTCAAATGTGAATAATGTATTTTGGGGGGAAAAAAACCCCACAATTCCAGTACAGGTATTAGAGGTATTTCCTTCCATATTCCACAGAACCCCTAGTAAAGCTTTTCCCAAGTCATGGCATACAAGCGACTGAACATTCAAGGCATCCAACTCCAAAACATGCTTGGATTTCCTCTCTTTCTCTTGGTAGCAGTGATGAGATTTGGGCATGGGTTCTAGACAGGCAAGGCTTGGAAAATGATGACATTTTGCTGGAGTTACAAAGGTGCAAACACACAAATATTAAGAGGTTAGAGCAATAGGTTAGGTATATCTCTGTCCTGGTGGCCAACCACAACTCATCTGCACAAGTCACCTTTGAGGTCTAGAGGTCTATGCTGAAATTCTCAGAATTACTGAGCACGCAACCAAGTCAACATCAGCTTCAGTAAAGACTGGGAACAGAATAGCCCAGTTTGCCTCTCATTTAGTGAGAAAATGTCCCCACCTCACCAAACTATACTGGGCAAAGGGAAACAAGAACACCTAATAATATGAAGGGGGACACAGTTATTTCTCCATCTCTCCCTAACACACCAAGATGAAGATACATGCTGGATTTAATTGCAGAAGCAGGCATCAAGCTTATCTGTCTGGCACAGATGCAAGTCAATAATGTTTGTTTTGCATTCAGTTAAACTCTGAGTAGTTTAATCAGAAAAGTAATCTGGAAATAGTGACAAATCTCTTTATTCATTAAGAGCAAGCAGTCCTTAAAAAGCCAAATCAAAGTAGGCTGCTGTGAGCTTAGATCAGCATATGCTCTTTCATTAGTGGCATTGATATTTACCAGCAGAGAGGATTTTCATGCCCTCAGTTTGTGCCATGCTCCCTTTGAGTCACTCACCAATCAAAACAAAATAAAAATATTATCAACAATTATTACCTGCATGTCCTAGCTACTGCTCGAGGCTCGTATCAAGTCCCCACAGACATTCCCATGAGTGCATTACACATCTCTAATGCACCGAGCTGTGTCAGACAGAAAAACATTGTCATTGTGTTCTTCAGTTTTAAAATAACATTTTTCTTGACAAAGTTTACAGTCAATGAAGAATAATTTGCTTTACTTTTCTTGTATGTAGACATGTTTACATTACTGCAAGAAGTTTTTTTCCACTCTGATAAATGCTTCCACAATGCACAGGGCTGCAAATGATCCACTGGAGTCCACATCCATCCTTGATGCCCACAATGCTAATTTCATTGCGGAGCATAACACTGGGCTGCCAGGTCCCATAAACACAACTGCTATAGGTCCCATAAACACAACTGCTATATTCCCCCCTCCCCCCCCCCATTTTGAAATCTCTGAAGCAGAAACTTTCATTTCTTTGTCCAACAGCTATTTTGTGGGAAAAAAATAATAAAAAAAAATCATCAGCATCACATGTGTCTTTCATTCTGTGAGGAGCAAATTGAAGATCAAGAATATTCTGCATGACCACAGGTCTGTCTGTAAAGAGTTCACTGGTACTTTGAGGCATTTTTGAGAGAATTCACTATGAATCACTAAGCAAATGTTGTATATGCTCACTCCCAGTGAAATGTTTCTCTGAATATTTACACCTCATCACCCCACAGGCTGTTTAGCATACCATACTCTCAACTCCACAGGCCTGTTTGTTTTGGTAGAAACAAAGCAAGTGTTACTTGGTGTTATAGCACAATAAATCAAATAAATAGTGAAGTTACAGGAGCCTGAACTCTCCCTAAGTAATAAAACAAAAATCAGTGATATTCAGGAGCTCCAAAACTGTCCTAGGGCATCACCACTTGAAAAAAAAGGTGCGCTGTCAGGTTTGCTTGGTAGGTAGAATCAAAACCAAAGGAAGTAAGTCAGTGAGGAGGCATGTATTTCAGAAGTTATTTCCAAGCTGCATGCCATTAGAACTATAGAGTGGTTTGGGTTGCAAGGGGCCTTAAAGATCACCTAGTTCTGACCACCCTGCCACGGTCTGGGACACCTTCCACTAGACCAGGTCACTCAAAGCCACATCCAGCCTGGCCTTGAACACTGCCAGGGACAGGGGAATTAGTAGACTAAACTGGATCCTTAAGTGTATTGCTTTTTCATGTAGCTGTATTTTGACTTAGTCATTTGTCCCTCAAATCAGGGCAAGCCTACTGACAGACAGAAGTTTGGGTCAAGAGTCTTTTCCCTCTGAAGTACAGCTGAGTATCACTGGTGATATGTGTACTTTAAGAAAATGTATCCAAAGACAGGGTATTCCCAATCCTATTCCATTTAGGATATCAAACAATCAAAATGCTCAGCTACATACTTCATGAAGCCCCAGCTGAGAACTATGAAGTTGGAATTACTGGTTTTAAATGAACTTTATGGATTACAATTCATGCTTTCCAGAAAGCTTCCAAAGAACCTCACACATGCCTATTTATTGCTGCAAGATCTAGAAACATAGGATGATTCATGAAAATAGCTGTTATAGTTACCCAAGACAGTAACGATCCAAGAGCTTACTTGCAACTGTACAGCTCCAGACACAGTGTGCCTATACATCTTGGAACAAAAATTCTCTGGAGAAACAGCACTTGCCCTGATGTTGCAATCCACCATTTGTCACAAGCTAACCTAAAAGCTGCAAAATATGATGCAAGTAGGCTGTTAAATCTTTGTATAGTCTTCATAAACAAATTGCGTTCAACTTTTCTACACATTTGGTTAAGAAATTATACTGAAAACAACTCAAGTACTCTTTGCAATATGGACCAAAGTAGATTTTAGCAGGAAACACACCTTTCCTGCCCTGCACAGGGGACCCCCAAAATGCTCAACATTTGGTTGAAATCATTTTCACAGGAAAATTCCCATTTAGAGGTTTTCAGTTTATGCTCACTGATTTCAAGTTAATGAGAAGGGTATTTAAATAAAAAGTAATATAATGCTCTGTAAAGTAAAGCTGCTAATCTGATTTAGGTTGTTTCATTTCCAGCTCCACGATTCTTCGTTGTCAGTCAGTAGCCTTGTTGAAGGCTATGTGTCCCTTGGCTTTTTGGGATACTTTTTGTTGTCAGAAATTGATATCAATAGCACTCATGCAAAGAGCCCACTAACACTCCAATAATAGAAAGTACACATGAAATAAAGCAGATTTAAAAACCATCAAGACAATGCATTTTTTTCATTTATTCAAATCTTCTGCAGGAAGTAAACACTGAAAGATTTAAAAAAACTTCACACTGCAGTATGTACAGTTTTGTGACATCACATGAGGAAATTAATTTCTAATAAAAATGAGACCAGTTAGATAAATTACTGAAGACACATCACAATAAAACTGGTTGTGGTAAAATCCCGAAGTCTTATGTATGGCAACGAAAATCGATATTCCTTTGTTTCACAGGGATGGAACAGTCCTGGTACAATATTTCTGTTATGCAAAATGGAGTCCTGAACTTACATGACTGGTTACAGTTGTATGAGTACTTCATGTTTTAAAAGTAGTTTTGCGTTTCTGTTTTTCTTTTTTCCCCAGACCCTTTTGATTTGAAGCACATTCTTTCACAAAGCTAAAATACCACAGCAGAAGTCATGTCCAGAAGTGGAATACTGTTGCATTTTGAACTGACCTGACTTGTTAAGACATATTTTTTTTGCCAACGCACAGATGCACAGGGTCCCCCATGCACTTTTCATGCAGCAGGTAATCACAACTTTAAATAAAAGTATTTTTCTATACATTCTTCCAGACTTGCAACTGTATACATACATGCAAAAGTTTTTAAACCTATGTGATCATATTTACACTTATACATGGAATATACATAACAAAAAAGATTAAAAGGTTTTTGTTTGTTTTTTTTTCCTTTGCATTAGAACAATACAAAATATGTATTTTTCATTAAGGAAATCGCTATTTACATCACCTTTTAAAAACCAATTTCAACATATTATAGGTGTAACAAGTCAATATATTTACATTATATATAAATATATATAATATATACTTACCAGTTTACCCCTCTGCAAGATGTGGCAGAGAACAAACTGGTAATATCATGTCACTGACGTCAATGAGAGCTGTAATACTTTCACCAACATTTAACAGGGAAAATTTAAACCATTCATTTCTTTCTTTTAAAAACATTTGTAAATTAAAAATTTAAAAACATTATTAAGAGAAATGGCTAAGAAAAGTGAAAATTATGGCTAAATTCCCTTTTGATCTTGTAATGTTTATAAACCTCTCAAACTGAGCCACTCAGTTATGCAGTATCAGTAGAGAAGCCCTCCAGCAAAACACCTCTGATTCTGTGGTCATATGTTACACCTTTTTCTCAAACTTTGGCAAAGGAGACACTAGAAATCTGGTTATCTTAGTCCCATACACTTCCCTCTAGAAAGAAAAGGCATATCTGCATAGCAATTGCAAGTCCATCCCCCAATCTAGCTAGCTTGAGTGCTACACCACCACAGCAGTTGAAATAGCACGAGTCTGTAGACACCCCTCGAGCATGGCATCGGGCACTTAGCACCCCAACTGCTACTGCAACCATTCCCAGTTAAGCGAACTTCCACTGCTTCACGAGGTGGAGGCAGCTTTCCACAGCAGTCTCACCCAGCTACAACTGGGATGTCTTCTCTCCTCCCTTCCTTCTCCTTAGACGGTGAGATCCCACAACACCACCCATCAATCCTGCACCTCTTCGCCTACACAGCTACTGCTGCCAATGTCTGGCAAGGCCCCATTTTTCTTCAAGTCTATAGTCTAAATACCTAGCTGACACTTCTGCCTTCCAAGTTTGCAAAGCTGTCTTTTGAAGCTTCCACTCCCACAGACTGGGGAATCATACTGGGGACAGCTGAAATGCATATCCTAGCAGCAAATGTCTACTGAACCAAGTAGACAGGAGTTGCCAAAAATACTACGCATTACTCAACAGATGACCTTGGTCTGTCATTCATCTACAGAGATGGGTGGAAATTGAGGATCTTTGAGTTGCTTGGGAAAACACAGCTAGCTCTACCAGTCCATCTGCTGGTGCAACAAAACCCCCCCTCTTCTGAAGGGAAAAGTCCCCAAGGAAAATAATTGTGGCTCCTTTTCACTCACCCATGTTACAAGATAAAAAATGACTAAAGAGCCTTTGGTCCTCAGGTTTAAAGGCTGTAAATGTAAATGGGGTAGAGCTCTCTTCTGTAGGCAGGGGTAACTGTTACTGGAGACTTTCATATAGAAGACTGTTGTCTTAGCAGCTGACTGAAGAGCATTCAGTTGGCATGTTCTACCCTCTCTCTCTCTCAACAGCCTCATCATTACCTTACATGCTGCTTGAGATTGCAGTGTCTACAAGAGGTAAGATTTTTCCATGAACAGCATGTCCTAAACTTAAAATTCTTGTGTATTATAAGTTTACTGACGTCTGTGAGAATGGTAATACCTTTCATTAACATCACCTGAAAAGAAAGCTAAATCATTAACCGGTCAAACTGTTAACATTTTAACTTAAATGTTTTATAAAACTTTAAAAACTAAATGTTCAAAAGTATATATTACAACAATAGACTACCATAGAATAAATACATAGGTAAGCACACTCCTAGACTCCGATATTACTTTATGTTAGGGTTAGACTCTCCTCCTTACTTTTCGTCTCAACTTCGTTTTGATGAGGCTTTTCTAACCAGATTTTTTTCACATCTATTCAAGCTGTTTTTTTCTGCGGAGCCCTTCAAATAAATTATAGCCCTGTATTTACTCTGGGGACCATCTATTATTCTATATTGTATATATTTCCTAGCTATATACATGTTGTTTCAAGAAAAATAATCAATTAAGACTTTAAGAGACATTTAATGGATGGAACAAATACCATCTTTTTAATATTTCTGCTGGGTTGACTCATATAAAAAGAATTCAGTTCACTGTCAATCCAAAATATACTTTATCTTGTTAATGACTATTCTATGAGACATCTGAATTGTCACTGGGCCACTTATAAATGCAGTATTAAAGACAAATAAAATTTTATTTTTATATTATACTTCGGACAATGACATTCAAAATGATGCTAGATTTGTGTGAAGGTTTTAAAATATAAATCTTCTTTGTACAGCCCATTAATATATTACGCTTCACCCAAATAACATAAAAATATATCTTTAAATTGCTCCATTATTTCTTATATAAACCAGGGGGAATGTTTTATATCTAATACTGACAAATATTTGTGTTCCCTAAAAGAAGCTATCCCCTGGAGGGGCAAAACAGAATAGTGGTGCATTTTCCAGCTGGCAGGGAGGAGAAATCCCTTTCTGTAGAGACTGCACTGGGAAGAGGAGAAACTGATCCCTGGGAGAGGATGAGAGGGGACAACAGCTCACTCTGTCTCAACAAGCCAGGAGTCTGGGAAAAGGATCTCTGAAACCAAACCAGAAGGAAAAAGAGCAAAATGCCCTGTCATTCACCCCTGCTATGCAAACATGAGATGGACAGAAACAGCAGTTTTGTCATGTCATCAGCTCTCAATGGTAAGACCAGTCAAAATTAAAACAGATTGTAGCTTTTATTATCTGTGCAAGCCAACTACTTAACTGCCTGCCGATAGCATGGGGGATTATCAGTGAAATTAGAAGCTACAGGGAACACTTTTTTTTCCAGGGGAGTAAAAAGTTCAGCAGAACTTATGGTTGCCAATAATGCATGCAATTTAGAGGAACTGGATTTTGTCCTCCTCCTCCCCCATGAGAAATAAAGGCTGCAAATGGAGTTAACACTTGACAGCATTAACAGGAAAGCAGAGCAGCATGGCTCTTCCCTTGCCAGCAATTCCTTTAAGGTGTCTCAGCTCTGACCGCAATTTTCAGTTACTCCCATCTCAGGCTAATATTGCCAGATGTTACAAATCACAGCACAGGTGGGGATTGAGGAAAAGGGCAGAGGAGGATTTCTCAGACGTGTCCCACTATCCATTACAGAACATGACAAAACCACAATTTTATCCTCAGTGCAACCAGAAAAATTATTTGAAAACCAGGTTTTCTGCAGTGATGGGGTAGTGCATTAAACCATGCATCAGCTGTTCAGAGAGCAATAAATATTGGCAGAATATGGATTCTTTTCCCTGGTTGTAGGAAGAGGCCAACACATTTTTCATTAAAATCCTATTCCATCTTTGAGTGGAAGCCTGAAGTGATGCTTTAGCACAGTTAGTAGTGCTCAGCAGGGGAAGCAGGATGGTGCTAAACAGACATTTCATTTCACAAACTTCCCACCATTTTCCTCACTAAATATTTGCAACTAAGCTTTCTTAACTGTACTACCCCAACAGGCATTTTGGCTTTCCCCTTTTAACCAGGAAACTGACAGGAATGTGTCGACAAAAGGACTCATGCAGTACTTGCATGGCCTATGAAAATCTGCCTTTTGTATAAAAACCTAGAAAAGTCCCTTGATCATAATTAGTAACTCATAACTATGGCTAAAAATTTGGAGGATGGCATTTATCAAGAGCAGGGCAAGGAAGAAAAATAGATTTTACACCACTATTCCATCAGGACCACAAACAAGATTTAAAAATAACATAAAAATTTTGGGAGCACTAAAAAAACACATTTCAGTGCATTTCATTTATTAACACTGACACAGGTTTTCCAATATGATGAGCTAATACCTTGGACAGACTGCTCCTTTTCTTAAAAGTTATTCTTAAAATTTCACAAAACATATTAAACATTCAAAAAAAAAAAAAAAAAAAGGAAGAAAAAACAACCCGTACACTATCTCTATGCTCAGGCTTCCAAAAAATAAGGATTATTTTACAGAGAGGGAGGAAATGCAGCATTACCACCGCCTAGGCTGTATGCTTACACTTTATGTTATGCCAAAAACTTGCAGATCCAAATAAGACTGATCAAAAAGTACTCATAACTTAATCTGATACATACAGAAATGTCTTGTACAAATTACAACCTTTCTAGTTTCCTTGTGACCATCTACTGTAAAGCAAATTTTATCTACATGTATTTTAAATAACATCACCAGAAAAATAAAAAGTTTAGCAAATGAAAATATGTTTCAATTAGACCATGCTTTTCTAAAATCATGCTCAATTTATACAGTAGTCAAGTTCGTACTCATTTTTATGTTTTCTTTTTTCTTTTTTTTTTTTTAAACAAAGATTCAAAACCACTGATTGTAAACTCACTGAGGAGGCTGTAGTTTATTCTGGCTCTTTTTTGATTGTTCGCACTTTTTCCAGAAGTCCATGCACTTCTCCATTCACAGCATGCTGATGAGTGGTCTTACTCCCTATATGGCTGTTGTAAGGGCTTCTTAAGTTAGTAAAAGGAGTTTTAAGCTCTGCATCAGATATCAACTCCTCTTTGATGGTAACATGAGTTGAGCTATCAGCAAATGAAGGTCCATTCCAAATTTCTTTGTCATGTGCTTCTTGGCTACTAACAGAGTTGCCGCCTTTCTGTAACATATAGTACAATATTGGATTGCTTTTGGTCAGTCTTGGAGAGTCTTTTTCGTAATCATTCTTGTCCATACCTGTGATTACCCATCTGATGGGCCCTTTTTCACTGGGCATGGGACACACGCTAAACTGGTCAGACTCGAGTCTAGATACTGTACTCCCCAAATGATCAGGGAAGGGGGAACCAGCAGGACTTTTTACTGTTACAGGATACTGAAATGTTCTATGATCTACACAATTGTTCTGTTGCACAGGGCTTCCCATTAATGCATTTACTGATGAAATGCTGAATTCAGGTTTATTAATTGTTGCACTGGTTTTGTTTCCTTTTTTCTTGCCCTCAGCTAGTATGTGATTCCTATGTTGTGACAGATCTCTCTCACAGTTTTCTGAGAGAAGCAGCTGTTTCAACACATTAAAGCCTTTACTATCTCTAGACCAACTCCTATTTTCACTTTCATTACTTGAACTGTGACTTACAGTGTATTTAAATTCAGCATCACTTCTGTTGAATTTCAGTTCTTGCTGGTTAAGCAAAGGCCCATACAGTGCCTCGGTAGGAGAAGCGTGATTGTTTGCAGCATCAGACATATTACTTTTCATCTTTTTTAATGGGCTTTCCAAAGGCTCAGCATGAAGCTTCCTCTTCTTCGGTACTGTGCAAAGACTCTTTGATTCAAGGTGTGTCAACTCATTGTTTCGGTGACTTCTGTCCAGCTCATCCGCAGGGTAACTGTCTGGATTCTGCCTCAGCAACCTACTTAGTAGGCCGTTTTTGGAAAAAGAGAAATCTTGAGGTGAAATCGGCTCAGATTTCAACTCTTTAGATGCTGGAGAAGTAGCTGCATTTCTCTGCAGTGAATGTACAAATCCTTGAAACGCGTTATCCTTGCCATCTCTTAATTGTTGTGCATTTGAATTATAAGGAATATTTGATTCTTCAGATGGTTCAGTTTTTATTTTCACTGTCAATATTTGCTCATTCAAAGCCTTATCTGTCTGTTCTTGAGAACTTTCATCTCTTAAAAGCATCCTCTCTTTCTTTTCACTTTTACCTTTACTGGGAGTTCCCAGAAGCAGCTGAAGGACAGTGCGCCTTTCAAGGAGATTTTCTATTTCTGAACCTGGAAGTCCTTGTTCAGCAGGTGCAGGCTGACAACTGAATATTTTGTTATTTTCTTCATGCGTACCCAATTTATTTGTAAGCAGAGGGCTGTTCAATCTATCAATCAAGCCAACAGGTTTATCTGTGTTTCCTGCTAGCAGGTGTTTGCTAGCTGTTTGTTCTTCACTTGACATGGAAGTCTGCATGCCACACTGAGCAAGGTTCTGCAACAGTTTGCTGGCACTGAATGCTGAAGAGTTCTGGGGACTATCATTCCTGCTTAGCTTCGCTCCTTGAATTTCTTTGCTTTTGGAAAGGTCTATCAAATGTTTAGATGCGGGATTCACCAGTCTCTCTGGCTGGATGCTGCAGGCATACGGTGGTGAGCTACGCTTGATGGCTAACGATTGGTGTGAGAGATTTATAGGAGAATCTGCTTTTGTAGAAGCCAGCAAAGGGGGAGTGCTTAACGGAGTCATTCGACTTGCACTGGGACTGTCAGTAACTGGAGTCCTTTTACCAGTCTGTACAGTGAATTTTGCCACATCAGCTGCACTGTGTGGTCCCTGAGGGTCAGTAATCTTGTCTACATTTTCCTCACTCTTGTGTCCAAGTAACAGCTGAAGTAGTGTTACTTTCTGATGCGGATTCAGCTTAGAAGCTTTTGGAGTGTCTTTGTCTTCCTTGTTCTCTGGACAGGAAACTTTTGGATCCCAGTTATGAAGCAAGGATTGAGTCAGGTTATCCAGTGATGCAGGTGGACCTGCATCTGGTTTATCTGTCCTCTGTTTAAAAGATAGGTCTATAGGAAGACAGTTAGAATGGGAGCTTTCATCATCACTGCTGTCGTCCTCTGTAAAACTAGGATTGTTGTCTGAATATTCATCAATAGTTGTTGGTGTGCTGCCATCTTCAAAATTGCTGGCTCTCTCACTCTGTTCACGCCCTTTCATGTGTTTGGTGGTATTCTGGCTTTTCAGCAGATGCAAGAGCAAACTGTTGCTGGGAGAGGTTTTCAGATTACTTCTTTCCAAAGTACTTTTGTATCCCCCAGTTTTGGGAGATGAATGCATGACTGAACTCTGAAATGGTGCCATATTGCTTTTGCTAGATACTGGTTTGGTTGGTGATCCTGTTTGACCATTGAGATGGCTTGTCATTCCTTTTGCTAAACCAAACTGTCCAATATCTTTCTGAGTGCTTTCCTGTAATCTGGCCATAGCTGCAAGTCTCTCACTTGCTATTTGATTTGCATTTTGTGCTTTTAAAGCATGTTCCCTGGAGTATTGCTGCAAGTGAGCTTCACTCGAAAGGAGTAAAGCTAGCTGGCTGCATGCTACGCTGGGCTTCGGTGAAGCAGCAGGACTAGATCGTTTCTCTACCATGCTTGCAACAGCTTGCAATCTTGCAGCACATGAGAGTGGCTCATTTATCACTTTAGGTCCGCTCTGCACCGCATGAGGAGATTCGATAAACCTCTCTTTGGGCAGGTTCTTCGTTATATCAGGCAGGCTGTTGTCCAGCTTCTGATCTTTTGCTTTGCTCTTCTTCAGTAGAGTCTTCAGGTGACTGGATGCAACACCATAGCACCTTAAATCTTTCTCCACTTGTAAAGAATCATGGTTAAGGGAATACCCTTGCTCCTTAAGGCTCTGCCTAATCTGCTGTGACAGAGCAACACTCTGCAGCCTAGAGCTGAATGACTGAAGCAAAGAGGCAAGTAATGTGCTATCCTGTTTGCCTTTAGGCACACTTTCAACCATGCCAGCTAACAAAGCTTCCTTTTTTCCATCTAAATCCACAATGGAATCAGACAACCGCCTTCTCTTTGCTGCATTCCAGTCTTCTGAAGACTGCAACAGTCTTGCCTTTTTGAGGTGCAGCATGCCAGATCCCCGATATGTATTTGTGTTAAGAGCTGGACCATTACTTTGACAGCTGGGGAATATATTTCCAGAAATATTAAAGTTTTGATTCTCCCCACTATGCCCAGTAGACTTTTTGTCAACTGCAGTACCTGAGCCTCCTGCTGCTTGATGCATTAGTAATCCCTCTAGGTAAGTTAGAACAACAGAATCCTGGTGCATCTCAGAGCCAAGCTCTTCTCCATGAGTCATGTTCAACAAAAGTTTCCAAAAGGGCTCTGGCTCTATTCACTTCAAAGACTAGTTCTGTAGCTGAATCAAGACGCAGAGTTAGGAAATAATAGGTAGATGTCTACAGTGCTTTCTCACAGACTTTCAGAATCAGTACAAAACATCATATCCCAAGCAGGCTTCTTCCGGTATATACTGTTTGATGAGTCAGGTTTCCAATCATATCAATCTGCTGTTATCTAGAATATTTACGAAAGTTGTCCAGGAGGAGCACTCAAAATGTGGTTCCACAGTAATCAAGTTCCACTAAGTATTTGCCACTTTCTTTCTCCTGGAAGCCAGCTTGTTTTTCATCTTTTTCCATCTCCACCAAGCACATAAAATTTCTAAGTGGAAAAAAAAAAAGAAAAGAAAAAAAAAACAGAAATAGAAGATTTAGGATAAGACTTTTTTTTAATCTACAAAACAAACAACAAAACACATTGTCTTAGACAGAGATTAAGCATATATAGAGCAATAAATATCCACATTCCAGAATAAATGAAAAATTAAGTAATGGAAAAAGTCTACGGTAACTAGTTTAAAAAACTTTGTGAGAGAAAATTTTATACAAAAATTAAGTTTAATTATCAAAAGCACAGCTACTACAAGTATTCACCAAATTTATTTACCCTACAGCTCAAAATATGGAACAAGATGAAAGGAAAATCTTAAATCACTATAATTTTTGACAAAAATTGTGCTGGATTATACTTCACGCTTGCATCAATATTTCTTCTTACAATGTAATATTTATCCTATTACACAGGATATGTAGACTATCACCCTAAAAGAGAATTAATGGGAAGAGGCTTGCCTAAAATTAATATTTAGGACAAATCTGTATTTGAATAACAGGCTATTAGAGCTCTCAGTCACAGATTCCATCAGTAATGGAGAAACTGTGAAGGGAAGGATAGTAAAACTGAAAAAATCAACAGCAGTTTTCTTGGCACCTTTCTAGTGAACTTAAATGGTATCAACACAAAGCTGTTTGCTTGTTTATTTTGTTTGTGCTTTGGAGAAAATGTTCAGAAGCAATTCATCCTCATGTTAAGAATTTGCTATTTAAGATTTACTGTGTGATGCAGCCAGTGATAAATTGCTTTACAACCTGGACGGGATGGGGTTGTAGCTGGGCTTGCCTCAGTGGGACAGCACTCCGGAATTGATGAAGACTGGGAGGCCTCCTGTAATCCTAGGGTGAAATCGGTGTGCTCGGCTCGCTCCCTGAAATGTCTGTACGCCAATGCGCGCAGCATGGGAAATAAGCAGGAGGAGCTAGAAACCTGTGTTAAGTCAGGAGATTATGATCTGGTGGCAATTACAGAGACGTGGTGGGACAGCTCACATGACTGGAATATAGTCATGGAGGGCTATGTCCTTTTCAGGAAAGACAGGCCAGCCAGGTGGGGTGGTGGGGTTGCTCTTTATGCGCGAGAGCAGCTACAATGCGTTGAGTTCTGTCCGGGGACAGATGATGAGCGAGTTGAGAATCTGTGGGTGAGAATTAAGGGGCAGGCTGGCAGGGGCGATACTGTTGTGGGGGTCTGTTACAGGCCACCGGATCAGGGTGAGGAAGTTGACGAGGCCTTCTACAGGCAGCTGAGAGCGGCCTCACAGTCACAGGCCGTGGTCGTCGTGGGGGATTTTAACTTCCCTGATGTTTGCTGGAAGGACTGCTCGGCAACCCAGCCGCAGTCCAGGAGGTTCCTCCAGTGTATGGATGATAACTTCCTCATGCAAATGGTGGATGAGCCAACCAGGAGAGGTGTGCTGCTGGATCTCATCCTCACTAACAAGGAGGGTCTGGTTGAAGGAGTGAAGGTTGAGGGCTGCCTTGGTTGCAGCGACCACGAGATGGTGGAATTCAGGATCTTGTGTGGTAGGGTCAGTAGAATAGCAAGTAGAATCGCAACCCTGGACTTTAGCAGGGCAAACTTTGGCCTCTTCAAGCGATTGCTAGGGGAAATCCCGTGGGCTAGGCTGCTTGAAGGGAAAGGGGCCCAAGATAGTTGGTTGACGTTCAAGGACTGCTTTTTCCGAGCTCAAGATCGGAGCATCCCGACACGTAGGAAGTCAAGGAAGAGGGTCAGGAGACCTGCGTGGCTAAATAGGGAATTGCTCGGTATGCTCAAGTGGAAGAGGAGAGTTTACAGGTCATGGAAAGAAGGGCTGGCCAATTGGGAAGAATATAAGGCTGCTGCTAGAGGATGTAGGAAAGCTGCTAGGATGGCTAAGGCCTCCTTGGAATTAAAGCTGGCGAGAGGGGTCAAGGACAGCAGAAAGAGCTTTTTCAAATACATGGCAGGTAAAACTAACACCAGAGGCAATGTAGGCCCGCTGATGAACGGGATGGGTGCCCTGGTGACAGAAGATACAGAGATGGCAGAGTTACTGAATGACTTCTTTGTCTCTGTGTACTCTGCCGGAGGCAGTCCTGAAGAGCCCTGTACCGCTGAGACCTCGGATGAAGATAGGTCAACGGAGCGGTCTGCCTTAGTCGATGAGGAATGGGTTAAAGACCAGTTGAGCAATCTGGACATCCATAAATCCATGGGTCCAGATGGGATGCACCCGCGGGTGCTGAGGGAACTGGCGGAGGTCATTGCTAGACCGCTCTCCATCATCTTTACCAAGTCTTGGGAAACGGGAGAGGTGCCTGAGGACTGGAGGAAAGCAAATGTCACTCCTGTCTTCAAAAAGGGCAAGAAGGAGGACCCGGGTAACTATAGACCGGTTAGCCTCACCTCCGTTCCTGGGAAAGTGATGGAACACCTTGTCCTTGGTGCCATCTTAAGGCATATCAAGGATAAGAGGGTTATGAGGGGCAGTCAACATGGCTTCACCAAGGGGAAGTCGTGCTTGACCAATCTTGTAGCCTTTTATGAGGAAATAACACGGTGGATGGATGATGGTAGAGCGGTGGATGTGGTCTACCTCGACTTCAGCAAAGCGTTTGACATGGTCTCCCACAGCATCCTTGCGGCTAAATTGAGGAAGTGTGGTCTGGATGATAGGGTAGTGAGGTGGACTGTGAACTGGCTGAAGGAGAGAAGCCAAGAGAGTTGTAGTCTATGGGGCGGAGTCTAGTTGGAGGCCTGTATCTAGTGGAGTGCCTCAAGGGTCGGTACTGGGACCAGTATTATTTAATATATTCATCAACGATTTAGATGAGGGAATTGAGTGTACTATCAGCAAGTTTGCTGATGACACTAAGCTGGGAGGAGTGGCCGAGACGCCAGAAGGCTGTGCTGCCATCCAGAGAGACCTGGACAGGCTGGAGAGTTGGGCGGGGAATAACTTGATGAAATATAACAAGGGAAAGTGTAGAGTCCTGCATCTGGGCAGGAACAACCCCAGGTTCCAGTATAGGCTGGGGAACGACCTGTTAGAGAGCAGTGTAGGGGAGAGGGATCTGGGGGTCCTGGTGGACGACAGGGTGACCATGAGCCGACACTGTGCCCTTGTGGCCAAGAAGGCCAATGGCATCCTGGGGTGTATTAGAAGGGGGGTGGTTAGTAGGTCGAGAGAGGTCCTCCTTCCCCTCTACTCTGCCCTGGTTAGACCTCATCTGGAATATTGTGTCCAGTTCTGGGCCCCTCAGTTTAAAAAGGACAGGGACCTGCTGGAGAGAGTCCAGCGCAGGGCAACTAAGATGATTAAGGGAGTGGAGCATCTCCCTTATGAGGAAAGACTGAGGGAGCTGGGTCTCTATAGTTTGGAGAAGAGGAGATTGAGGGGTGAGCTTATTAGTGTATATAAATATATAAAGGGGGAGTGTCACGAGGATGGAGCCAGGCTCTTCTCAGTGGCAAACAATGAAAGGACAAGGGGTAATGGATACAAATTGGAGCACAAGAGGTTCCACTTAAACCTGAGAAGAAACTTCTTCTCAGTGAGGGTGACGGAGCACGGAACAGGCTGCCCAGGGAGGTTGTGGAATCTCCTTCTTTGGAGACATTCAAAACCCGCCTGGACACGTTCCTGTGTAACCTTATCTAGGTGTTCCTGCTCCGGCAGGGGGATTGGACTAGATGATCTTTTGAGGTCCCTTCCAATCTCTAACATACTGTGATACTGTGATACTGTGAACCGAACAGGCAGCATCATATATATGAATACATTTTTGTTTGGCACATAAATAATATTGCTGAAAGTAGAAACCAAGTTGTCACTGCTTTCCAGAACTATCTAGTAATGCAAAATCTAGCATGATAGCACAGCAGGGAGGAAATCTGGTTTTTTACAACTCCCAGCTACCACAAGTCATTAGAATAATCATGTGAGGGGAGTGGTGAAAAGAATGCTTATGTTCCTGTTATAACATAAATCCTGGTATTAAAATCCTCCCTTCACCAGAGGATTTTTAGCTTCACATTCTTTCTGTGTATTAAATATATAATGATAAATGAAAAAACAAAACAGGTCTTCCTTGAAGTCTTGTTATTTTCGATTGTAGTCAATACTTTTTTTTCTTGGATGGGGCAGTATGCCATAAAAAGCTGTTTTAAAAAACACAACAGTGGCATTTATGTTAGATGCATCTCCAGTTTTAGTTATATTACTGGTCAATGGTAGGATAAACAGTTCAGTCACCACAGTACAAGACTGAGATCATTGCCCCACACACTCCTTCACTCATTCAGTTCTAAATTCACAAAGATTCAACATGATCAGAGCCAAGAGTCTTTCCACATTTATAACTCTGCAATTAACTTTCACAGACTAAAAGTCCACTGAAAACTTGTATTTACAAGTTTTTAAAGTATGTACACAGATGAAATCCTTGCCTCCTTAAAATGAATGAATATTTTACGATTGATTTCCAGAAGCCATTTTTAAATTTGAAAACTACAGGCAATTAGAAGTCAGAAAAATAGAAGATCTGAAAGGAGTAAAGAATCAGGAGACATGTAAGTAGCCATAATGCCAATAGCCCATATAATCCCCTCTGCAAAGAATCCCTTACTAGATTTTAAGTAATTTAGAGACTTTAAAAACTAAGCAATATTAAAAAAAACCCCAAACAAACAAATCCCAATCAAACAAACAGAAAAAACAAACCAAAATCCAAATCCACTTAAAACAGCAACATGAAGTTGTAGTGTAAACGTGTATACCCATTTACCTAAATATCAGATGAAAAGATGGTAGCTATTGCTGGGGTCTCAGTACCTCTCTCAGACATACATGTCTACATTAAGCATCATTTACCTGTAGAAGACACAATGTTCTTTCAAATATATAACTTAACACTTAAATGTGGATTTATCTAATTAAAAGTTACTCTTCCTACAAAAACTTATGCATCTCTGTGTGGGATTTTGTAGTTTCAACCCAAAAC